GGTGAGGAACACAAAGACAGAGGCATCACCACTGCCCATTCACAAAAATTCACAGAAACGGGGAAACCTGGAAGACACTGACAGGTTAGAGAATGTCCTTTTCAAGTGACTATGGTCTAAACCTCTTCTAGGCATTTCGGCATCTCCCAGGCAGTTGTTCTGATCTCAGAGTCTTCAGTCTTCTTTGTAGTTCCGGCAGGGAGGGGCCTAGTAAACCTGGTCGGTTTCAGGGACTTCCTGAAGCTATTTTGAGTTGGTTGCCTTGAGCATAAGGAGCTTCCTTTGGGATGGAATGTTTCCATCACTGTTACACAACAGTCCTGTATTCATCTAGACAAACTGACCTCATCTAGGACTCTAAAGAGATGACTCAGGGGTTCAGAAGGTTCAGTACTCATACAGCTCTCAGAGATTACCTGAGTTCAGTGCCCAGCACCCATTGTGGTCCATCTTCTGGACTCCTTGGACATCTGCACTCACAGGTGTACAGGCAACATTATTTAAAAATAATAATCTTTTTATAAAATCATCTACAAGTGGGCAGAAGTATAATTTGAACATCTTACAAGGTCACGATATTAGAAAGTTTGAGGAAGTCCCCTCAACATACAAAGGTTGACTGATGACTCAAAACCAAAAGATATGTTTAAACTGGAAACAAATATAAAAGTCTGTAGTTATGTTTCAATATTAAAGACATTTTTAGTGCCCGTTGGTAGCCATAAGATTCAGTCCTCTACCACCTAAGATCTCTGCATTTAGAGTGTGTAACTTATTTTCCAACACCAGATATACACTTTGATAAAAATCTAGCTAAAACAGAAACTGGGTCTTTTGCTGGCAGAAAAAAAAAAAATGTATGGGATGGAGAGGGGACAAGTTACAGTAATTGTTAGATTTCCTTTGGGTAGGATTTCTCTGGAATAGGGGTGGGGGCATTTGCAGGGGGGAAACAAACTTTCCGTCTAGCGTATCACATTATAAGCATCTTTGAGAAAAGAAGGAATAATTCAACTTTGAAATTCTGCCATTAAGTGGCGGCTCCTGCAAAGGGGACAGTTTGCTATTAATTGTTAATGTCGCCTACCATTAGAGGGCACTAAACAACTCCACATTAATGCGTTGGAGGAAAGAGAAAAGGAGGCGAGGAAAGGGGAGGGAGAGTATGGGCAGAGTCCGGGGAGAGGGAGGGGAGACAGAAGCCGGGAAGGGCTGGGAAAGAGAGAAGAGGGAAGTGGGAGGAGGGAGAAAAGGCCAGAAGAGGAAAGAGACAGACAAACAGTCAGACAGACAGAAACAGACAAAATGAATCTGGAAAGGTTAAGAAGGATGTGGAGCCCCAGAGCCGTCTAAAGTGAGCAAAAAGCCCGGGCCACCCACTCCCCTCCCCTCTCCTCTCGTCCTCATGACTGTAATTATAAAGCGAAAAGCGGCGGCGAGGTCACTCGTTTTTACCAGCCTGCTGCACCGAATGCGCGCGGTGCAGGTGCGGCGGCCGCGGGGCTTTGTGATTCATGCCCACTTTCAAAGGGGGGCTTGGGCCCGTCTGAGAGGCACCCAAACAACTGTCTTCTAATATTAGCACGGCTGTATTTCGGGATCTATTATAGTCTGTCCAGACAGATCCCATTGTAATGGGATCTTTTATTAAAAGATTAGCACTATCTCCTGCAGTTGGTGGAAAAAAATCTGTTATCACTGAGTTATTTGCAGTTGTGGAGGGGGTGGGAGGAGGGTGATGGAAGATGGGGGTGGGAGGATGAGAGGAGGACCTGAGGAGGGTCGGAGGGGGGGGGGAGTGTAGGGCGGGGGTAGAGAAGAAGGGCGAATTTGAAATCCGTAGAACAAATCCCAATGACCTGGGAATGTCCAAGAATTTTTGTCTGCCTAGTTCGCCTGTTTGTTGTCGTTCGGGCTTCAGAAGCGAAAAGAATAGGAATTAAAAAGGCAGCTTTGAAATAAACAATATAGCATTTTCCGTGAAGTAATCGTTTTATATAAAAGGAAATATCGCCTCCTCAGTTTCATTCAGCGGTGCCAGAAAATGTTATAAATGAGAAGACCCGCCAACTTTCGGCGAAGAATGCCAGGCATTGCACTCAATAAACTGAAGCTGCAGAAGTTCATTATCACGGTGCAATCTTTTTTTTTAAATATGAGAGAGAGAGAGAGAGAGAGAGAGAGAGAGAGAGAGAGAGAGAG